GGGGCTCCGGGGGCCGGGCCGGCTCTTCCGCCTCCCAGCTCTGCCGGCCACTGGCCCTCACAGTAGACGTCTTCCAGCTTTTCCCTCGAGTTAAAAACAACCCGCCAAGGTCCAGATGGGACTGTTCGGAGCTGAGGAATGTCATGAAATTCCACTGCAGTCACATCGTTCTCGCATTTCACGGGTGGGGTTGGGTGTGAGTCCCTTGCCTTGTTTCCATGACCTGAGTCAGTGGCCACGGCTCCTTCCCTTCCTGTCCCCGACGTGTACTGGGACCAGCTGTGGTGGCCGGGGGAGGGGAGGCCTGTGGGAGGGAGGGGCCCTGGCTCACGCCGCTCCCCCCAGATCCTGGAGCGGCTGAACAAGATGTGCGGCGTCGGGGAGCAGATGAGGAAGAAGCAGCAGCGGCTGCTCAAGAACATGGATGCCCACAAGGTCATGCTGGACCTGCTGCAGATCCCCTACGACAAGGTGACCCCAACTTCTGCCCAGCTTCACCCTGAACTCCGACCCAGCCCAAACCACTACTCCCCAGTGCTGACCTCACCATACTCACCGGGACCTGTTCCCGACACACCTGACCCCTCAATAGCATCTCAACCTTTGACCCTCTGCCTTCATCCTGATCCACTTTGACCTTGATTTGACCCCAGCCCCACTCTGATTCTTGACCCTGACCCCAGCTTCTGTCTTCTTCTTTGGTCTAATCCTGATCATTTCTTTTTTTTTTTTTTTTTTTTTTATCCCACAAAAAAATAACCACCTCCTCACACCACATACAGCTATTACACACTTGAACTAGGACAAGCATTTTTTTTTTTTTTTTAATCCTGATCATTTCAGCTTCATCTTCACTTTTGACCCTCAGCCTCTCCCTGACCCATAATGTCAACTCAGCCTCATCCTGCTCCTGACTTTGGCTCCTCACCCTACTCGCCCCCCCCACCCGGCCCCTGATTCCAAACTTAGCCCCATCTCAGTCTTTGACCTTTCCACCCCTCACCTTGGCTGACCTTGATCTTTTAAAAAATATATATTTTTATTGACTTCAGGGAGGAAGGGGGAGAGAGAGAGAGGAAGAGAGAAAGAGAGAAACATCAATGATGAGAGAGAATAATAATTGATCAGCTGTCTCCTGCAGGCCCCACACTGGGGATCAAGCCCACAGCCCAGGCATGTGCCCTGACCAGGAGTCGAACCATGACCTCCTGGTTCATAGGTCGACGCTCAACCACTGAGCCACGCCAGCTGGGCTGGCCTTGGTGTTGATATGTCTCAAGCCTCACCCTGACTCTTGACCCTGACATCATCCCAGTGTTCTCCTGACCTTGACCCCTTAGCCTTGCTCCCCCACTCCAGCCTCCTCTCACCCTGTGCCCCTCACATGGCCATATCCTGACCTGGAGCCCCAGCTTTCACCTGAACCCAAGCCCTGACCACCCCCCACCTGTGCTCCTGTGAGCGCGCAGCACCCTCTCCCCTCTGTGCTCCTGTGAGCGCGCAGCACCCTCTCCCCTCTGTGCTCCTGTGAGCGCGCAGCACCCTCTCCCCTCTGTGCCCAGGGCGATGCCAAGATGATGGAGATCCTGCGCTACACACACCAGTTCCTGCAGAAGTTCTGTGCGGGGAACCCCGGCAACCAGGCCCTGCTGCACAAGCACCTGCACCTCTTCCTCACGCCCGGGGTGAGGGGCGGGGCAGGCGGGGTGGCTGCCTGGACCCGCCCTGACCTCGGACGGACGCCTGCACCCAGCTCCTGGAGGCCGAGACCATGCAGCACATCTTCCTGAACAACTACCAGCTGTGCTCGGAGGTCAGCGAGCCGGTGCTGCAGCACTTCGTGCACCTGCTGGCCACCCACGGGCGCCACGTGCAGTACCTGGACTTCCTGCACACCGTCATCAAGGCCGAGGGCAAGTACGTCAAGAAGTGCCAGGACATGATCATGACTGAGGTGAGGGGGGCCAGGGGCTCATGGGACTCGGGGTGGCCACAGAGAGGGGCTCGGATGGCGGGACGCAGATGTGGGCGGCCACGGAAGGAGCTCTGGGTGCTGGGTGTGGAGGGGCCGCAGAGTCAGGCGGAGCAGAGCTCGTGCGGGGCCAGGAGAACTCAGACAATGGGCTTGAACGCAGACACTGTCATTTCTTATCGTTGACTTACAAGTCCTCACGCCCCCGTGTGCCGAGGACCTGGTGTCCCCGGGGAGTCAGTGGAGTATGAGTTTGGGGGTGGGGACATGGACTCTGGGGTGGGGGACACGGACCATGTCCTTTGCACTTGTTGCCAGGCCCCAGCATGTGGCACATAGTAGGTACTCAGTTCACACCTGATGGCTGAAGGCATGGAGGGTGGGGGCCGCCTCCATTGGGCTTCGTCCAGCGCAGGGCGGGCCAGGGAGAGGAGCCCCACTGGCGTGCGCTCAGGGAACTTGGTAAGGACACGCGTGTGCGGGGTGTGCTGTGTCGTGCCGTCATCCATCGCTGGTGCATTACTGTGGGCAACGTAATCGCTCACATGAGGAGACGCAGCATGTGCCCTCGACGCTTTACATCACACGCCGTGGGAACACGGGAGAGAGGCGTGAGCTGGGCGGGGGTGGGATTACAAAGGGCTTCCTGGAGGAGGCGCCTCTGAGACCAGCCCAAGTGAGGCATCTTTTCCCAGTGAAAGAGGGGGAGCTTTCCGGGCCCAGGGTTCAGTGTCCCTGATGGCCGGGGAGGGTTTCCTGAGTGTCGAGTAAGTGCAGGAGGGGGTGGCCCCGGGCCCGCTGGACCGAGGGTTCCGACACGTGCCCCCCCGCCTGCAGCTGACCAACGCAGGAGATGACGTGGTCGTGTTCTACAACGACAAGGCCTCGCTGGCCCACCTGCTGGACATGATGAAGGCCGCCCGGGACGGCGTGGAGGACCACAGCCCGCTCATGTACCACATCTCCCTGGTGGACCTGCTGGCCGCCTGCGCCGAGGGCAAGAACGTCTACACGGAGATCAAGTGCACCTCCCTGCTGCCCCTGGAGGACGTGGTGTCTGTGGTGACCCACGAGGACTGCATCACGGAGGTGGCTGCGTCCACGCGGGAGCTGACGGGGAGGGCGCGGGGGCAGGGCGGCTGCAGGGA